AAATTTTCCATTAATGCAGCCTGGCAAAGCTGAAACCCAACACAATGAGAATTGAAATGGTTTGTGATTCGATTATACATGTAAAATGAATTGCGCCCAGGGGCATACATCAACTTGAACTTTAGTTTCGGTTTATTTTTAGTTTTATACCATTCGATACGAAAATATAATTGAATGCTGGAAATAACGCTCATAACAATTTTTCGTTATAATACTCCATCAATTATTTGTGAATAGTTGTAGTTGCAAACTCAACGCTCAAATGAGAAATATGGCCTTATATTGTAGTAAATAGTATAGTGATGACTGGAACATGGCAATCGCAGTTTGTGCTCATTTTCTACTATCTTTCTTTTTTCGTCTTGCGAAACGAAATTGAAATGATTAGGTATATAAAGTCAAACTGCGCAGGATGTTGACTCTTAATTTCGCTCCACTCCACTCAAAAATTCCGTGAATATTTTTCAACAAACTTGTTTAACATCAGTTTATTTGTATTTCTGGTGAAAAGGGTTTTCGGTGAAATTTCACCGTAAAAATTTATTTATGCACGAATCAAAAGACTTGGGTTCATTCTCACTTTAAATGCTCACAGGATGTATGGATCGCGAAATCATTATCTTCACCACCGAAAATTTGTACTTGAGTATAAACATAAATTTTAAATTAAATTTAATTTGTATTTCTTAGTTCAAAGTTTCTGTGGCAACCACAGAAATTAGCTTCGGCGAACATTGGCACTTTACACGTAGTTCTTAACTATTGCCTTTCTCAACAAAATTACGAAACAAAAATCCATTTATATTTACACACGTGTATAGTACACATTCAATTAAAAATTTCCGATCAGCATTCGCGCGATTTTTTGTTTCAATTGTAATACTCAAAAGGTCAATTTTTTGGTCAAGTGAAGCACATAAACCACAGAAATAATGAATCGTTTCGACACATTTGAACATTTTTGATACATAAATGGGGTGAATTACTACTGGAAAATTGAATTTAGTTGTACTGCAAATGCGTTAAAACAACGCAACGCATACGCGTCAGCAGCTAATGTTAGTTAGTGCTGCTGACGTCAGCTAATAACACGCTCTGCTTTTAACCTGATGTGAAATTTTTTTGTCTCTCTCTTTAACTTTTTATTTTTCTATCTTTATCCCAAAAACCATGAAAATGTTTAAATTTGATGCAATTAAGTACGAAAATGTTGAGATTGAGTCCGACAAATTCCGAACCTGAGCCGCACAAGCGTTTGAGTTAAACGACGAAAATGTGAAATAAAAGGACATAAGAAGAAGTAGAGATGTTAAATTTCAGATGCTGAAGCAAACACGTTTACAATCTACACCAATCGAGGATTCAAAATTTTCCTTAACAATATGTTTGAATTTTAACTTGAATCTAGAAAATGCACACTTTGGAATGGACAGGGACACACCTAATTAATTGCTCCGAAATAGATAAATGTATCTACTGAAATGATGTCATTGCACATATTTATTCGACTGAATCATGGCTACATTCGATTAATCATTTGAGCTGAGCGTGACGTTATAATATAACGGTTATATTATCACTAATAAGAACTTCTCATTGTGAAGCAACAAAACATGAGATGTATACAGATTAATGGCAGCAAAATTATAATGATTTTCCCGATCAATGTCAATTAAAATCTAGTGAGGAGGAATGAATTTATAGGCAAAATGAGAGTAAGAGAGCTTTTTGACTTCGGAACGAATTGCTTTTCAATTGATTGAAATTCAGTAGCACCACAAAAAAATCTTGCCGTTTCAATGGTTCAAGACACAACAAGAAGCACAAACACGTTGTCTAGAATAAATCGGCTGTGATGGAACGAACGACAACGGATGGGCATTATACATACGCACAAATTGATGTGGAAAGTGAACAAAATCCAATTAATGAAGGATTTCGGTTACCTCGTTATACTCTTCCACATGCTCTAGTTCGGTTCTCCTTTCCTACTCCTTCTTGCTGTCGCTGTGTGAAGCAGTTCAAGTCAAATCAAATAGAAAATTATTTAACCAACCACAAAAAAGCATAAAATTAAGGGAGGGAGAGGGAGAGGGAGAATAAGAATGAGTTCTCTCATAGAAAATATAAAGTGTAGAAAAAAAGAGAGCTAGACAGAATGAATAATGAGATGTTTTACACACAGTGGTTGTGAAGATCACCAACAGAAGAAAAAAATTGACATCTGACCACCAGAGAAACGATAAAATACGGTATGAGATACACGCATAGTCCGGGACCGTTGCAAAAGCAGATAAAAAGTGAAAAATGTAAATGGTTTTTTCGAAGAGATATGTTTCGAGCATGTAGGCATCATCCTCACCGCTAAAGAAAAACATCGTGTATGAAATCTGGCTATTGTCATGATATTGACACATGATGACTCTACTGATATGGACAATCATGAACATCGCCAAATTGCTCTTGACTGATTAAATATTATATGTAGGAAGTAGGGCGCAACTCGCTACTGAAAGCTGTAGACTCTACGACCGTCAGTCTACTCAGTTGCGGTGTTCTTCAACATTTCAAGCAGAGAGTAAAATAGCTGGCAGTCGTGCCCATTTTGGGCAGTCGTCAAGCCATTTGGGCAGTTCTAAAATTGATTTTGGGCAGTTCAAAAACATCCTTTTTAAAAAATATCAACAGTAGAAAAATTCAAATTATAATCATTTTTAATATTCTAAACAATCAAATTTGAAAATTCGCACCTAGTTGTCACTATTCACACTAATTACTGACAACTGAGTAAGTCATACGAAAAACGTGTTGAATGTCAAAGTTGTTGTAAAATTCAATTCCTATTCATTTTCTGTAGATTTGTTTCCAAATTGATATTAATATTTATCACTCAAATGTAAAAAAATGCAAAGGAATTTTTTCCGAGGCCAAAAATCTCGCGGATCCCGATTTGATACCGAGCGATAACGATGGAAATACAAATACCATTTTTGATTTCTGAATAAAAACAAATTCATAATATATGTGCAATTCATATAATAAATGATTTATGGTAAAAACAAAATTTTGGGCAGTACTCATTTTCGCTTATTTTACTCTCTGATTTTAAGTATTGAAAGTATCGTTCACCTATTTATGATTGCACAACCAACGAATAATCAAGAAAACGCAATTTTTCGTCATTTGATCAATTCTTTAGAATCTCAACTTGTAAGATTTCTTGATACACAGCAAAATCCCATACACTACGATATGATACGTGCAAAATTTATGTTATGCGATCGTGGTACGACGACAAACACATCCAGTTCTTTCAACCGAAAAAATAAAATCGATACCATAATGGAAAGAAACATATAAAAGTGTACACTTCACGTGGAGCTATATGCAATGCGTATAGACTGAGAGCACAAAAAAGAAAAGCGTAATTCTGCACTTATGATTTTGAGTGTCTGGGCCAAGCAAAAGTACGGCCAAATCACGCACATCGCACAAACCAATGTCGAAACAGAAAGAACGGTGCACACAGTGGCACAACACCAAATTCAAATTAATCGATTTTCTCTGTTTACTATCTTTTAATACTGAAATTGGTTTTTGGGTGCAGTTTTTTTTTCATCACGACTTTTGGTAAAGCTACCCGAATGTAACTTTATTATTTATCGCCTTTGCTCTTCAACAGAAGAATCACAGATTGACCTATTTCACAAAGCTTATCCACATACTATTTTGGCCATGATAACGAACATCATTAATTCAATTGAGTTTATTTCAGCAGTTATTTCCCTTTTCCAGAAGAATTCGTGCAAAATTTCCAAATCCAATTGCACTTGAATACATCAAAATCGACCGAAAGTCTTTTTTGTGGGAAAATACAATTTCACACTCACACAACATTCACACACCAAACAATGTTTAGTCTTTTTTAATTTTTTCTCGTCTTAATTTATTTTTGTTTGACGCACTTTTTCGTTTACCTTATCAAGCCAGATAATGTGTTTGCATGCGTAATTGTACATCAGCAACTATAAAATTGAATAGAATAAAATGGAACAAGATTGCGGGTGTACAATGTTCATAGCGTCGTTATTGAAAAAGAATCGAGAGCAAAATAATTTGGTTTAGGTTGACATTGAGTATCCATGGGTCGACATGGCTTGACTCAGCGTCTGCGTATACTTGTGTACGAATGTCCCATAAATCATAGAATACAGCTTTTACGTTACCTTTAACGCGTAAATGTTGCTGCTTCGATTGTGCTTTCGGCGTCGTAGCCATTGTTGTATTTGTATATATATGTATATAGTTGCATTATCTTTTACCATATACACAGCATAAGGATTTGAATCTGCTGTCGTTATACACACAATATGGTTTACACACCATTTTCGTATATATAGCAACTCAAACTGTTGAATATCAAATATTCCGTTCGTTTACGACGGAGTGTATTCGCTCCTTTGCCACATTCCTTGCTCCGTTATTATTGCGTTTCGTACAGTTTCGTATATACATATATTATGTATCGTATCGTATTGGAAACGATTTCAATTTCTCTCTCCCTCTCCCTCTTTCTTTTTGTCAGTTACTTGGTTCAATACAATGCTTAAGTTAGTTGCTTAATTCGTTTCCATTCAATTTGTAAGTGGTTGGGCTACTGAAATGTGTTTGATGTTGAAAGTTGCGCCTTTTATTGTCCAAAAACATGTATATACGATAAGGATTATTCATGCGAATAAAACAGTAACAATTCTCTTTGGGATGGTAATTTCCAACTCAATTTCGGGAATTTATCAATATTCATATGATTGTGTGCTTTACGTTCTTTTTGTATGAAATTTGCGAAAATCCATCAACGAAATTTATTGCATGCAAAAAATATCCCTCGTAAAGTTTCTATCGAATGCCATAATCTTAAATTCATGTAATTGCGCATTTGTCTGTAATTCGATATTTTTTCCTCTTTTTTTAATGCACAAATAAAATCCTTCATATCTTACCATTCTCACGACTGGCTGCTGGCACCTGAATTTAATACTTCGATTTCCAGCAATTTTCTTTAATAAAAACAGTCTTTTACAATCACTCGCACCACAACTACGATTTAAAATTGATTTTGATTTTTTTCAGCTTTCATTCGAAACACCGAAATTATTTTGCTACTTTTGATTTATCCAATCCGAATGCGAGCTGAGCCGTCGTCTGTGGCTCCTGCAATCTTTTTGACTTTAAACACGTAACAGTTTGGTACAATGAACACACTTAGTTTGATTGGAATATATTTTACTGCGTTCTTTAATAAAATCACTTCTTGAAACATTCAATTTCTCCGGCCTTCTCTCGTAAATGTTCAAACATTCAGTCTGAAACTCCGTCGAAAGCTGCCCTCAAATTCAAAAAAGAGAGAAAAAAAAAGAATTATATTGTTGCGTCTTAAACTGAACTAACTAAGAGGAAAACTGGTCTGGAAATCATTGAATCACGGAACGCAACGATAAAATTATTGCGAATACCGACGAGTATCGCGGTGAGTGTTTCGAGCTCAACTGTTGTGATAAAATTTTCGTGGCTATATCCAGTTGAAGAGTGTTAGCCCATACCAACAAGTAGAACAGCGAGCGAGAGAGAGAAAGAAGGAGTGCGCGTGTAACGAAAGCAATACGAATGTAAATGGAATAAAATTCAGAAGGACAGTTAACTGAGCTCACCGAGCGATGTAATGGAAAAATCAGTTGAGAAAAATAGAAAGAAAATACTCGAACGACGAAAGCACACACTCAGTTCGAAATCCCAGCTCGGTGTGTGTTTGCCAGCATGCGCATTGAGCAGTTGGCGTTGTTCGGTGCTTTGCTACTACATTTTTTGAAGCAACAACAAGTGAGTGATTCTATGAGTGTGTGATGACTGTGTATATATTTCTATCGTTGCTCTCCGCACATTGCAACAGGTCCCAGAAATTGTACGCGCACATAAACTGCGAGAGCTTCGTGAGCGAAAATTTTCGTCTATTTTGTGTGTTTGTGCTTGGCTACACATACTCGCTACACATGAACCATCTATGTTGACAAGCGATGTGCCATGCGTTGTCTCTTTTCAATCCATTGCACGACAAAATCCACCGAAATTATTTTCATTGCACTCCCTTCATGAGTTTTATCGTGGCGTCTGTCGCGTATTCTTTTCTTGTTGAAAATGTTCTTGAGCCAAGGAGCAGCAAAGTCAAAAAACAGAGAACTTTTTACGAAATGTTTGCTATGGCACGACCATAATAAATAATTTTCAATAAAATATACGTTCGTATTCGTATTCATGTTCGTGAAAGTATTTCGATATCACGACATTGAAAAATGCTACTTTTCAAGAATCACATAACAAGCATCAAACCATATTTATATTTGGATGAAATAAATGCGCGCCATAATAGAGAACAAAGTTGCAATGTTTGTTTGCTTATATCGAATGTGTGAAATTCCTGCTATGAATGTAATAAAGGGAAATCATCGATAAATTTTTGCACTCTTTCTCTCTCGCTCATATTAGTTTTTATTCTGGCTCTACCCAACGCTGTCCCCGTCACCTGTTCTGTCTAGAGCTGCTAGTTTGAATTTATGCATCACTAATCACCAAGTTACTGTCAAATTTTGAATAATTGTGCAGCGCCACTCATCAGTGACGGCACATTCAGCTATAAACAGCCGTAATCGAAGTCGGGATATTGTGAAACATTGCGAAATCACACCAATCAGTATTGAACTTTGCCGTCATTAATGGATGGCGCTCTACAATTTAACAATTCGTATTTTGTATACAATCAACGCGAGATTATAACCGTGTGTCACTAATGAAAGAGTTTTTGCAACAACAAGATATGGATGATATCCAAATGATGAAATCACCCTTTATGTAAAAAGGAAATGCCTTTTCCGCTGGATTCTTATCGCTTTGATGCAAATATTTCATTATCAAATTGTTTCAGTCGTGAGAGTATGTGTATTTGATACTGGTAAATGTAATTTGTTCTCACCTTTGACATGCCATTGCCACTTGTGTCGACCAAATTGCAATGTTTGCAAGTTATTTTGAGTTCATCCAAACACATCGATGTTGTCCGATTTAAGGAGACGTATGTATGGTGAACACCAACAATTTCTTCATTTCAGCATATTTCAGTGCTAGGGGCTAACCACGGTTTTAAAAATAACCAATAATGACCGACTTTAAATTTTTTTATCATTTAAACAAATAAATTCCGATATGATCACATTTTGTTCGATTTTGCCCGATTTTTGCAGTAATTTTTTCACTTTAACGAATGCATACTGTTCTAGAAGCGGGGTTTGGTGCATCCTCAGGATCGTTCAGAACTGCTCCCGATTCTGGAAGTGGGTTTTGGTGGATCTGCAGGATGGACCAGACTGGGTTTGACAATGCCCTGGCCCATCCTGAGGATCCACTTTCAGAACCGGGAGCAGTACTAAACGATCCTCAGGATCCACCAAAACCCACTTCCAGCATTTTTGAATCGGTAATGACGTCAGCACATTAAACGTTTATAGTCGATATTAAACGATAAAATTCAATATATACAGATTTTTTCAATTTTTCACGGATGTCATTAAAATTGGGCGATAAAAACAGATTTTTTCAATAAAAAATCCATGGTTAGCCCCTAGTTTCAGTGATGATAAAAAATATTGAATAACATCAACGGAGCATTGTACCAAACTGACAAACACACACGTACGTAGGGTCAAACCGTTTCGGATTCCATGCTTCTTGTGTGCACAACATTCCTTCTTGTAATGGTAATTACCTGCAATATTCTTGATTCAGTGCGGTGTGAAGCGTTAGGAACACTCTCAAAATCACTCAATCTCTCTCTCTCTCTCTCTCTCAGTAGCGAATGAAACGGGTGTAGTGGAGCACCCAGTCGATTTGTTTGACGCGGGCACACCATTAATTGTGTTGTGCTCTCGATTGCCATACTTCACTTTCATTTCATCTGTTCGTTTGTTCGTTCGTTGGTCCGTTTTTTCACTCGATCAAGTAGCGAGCGTTCCAATGACGCTTCTATCGTCGTTATAATATTTCATTCGTTTAATATGCAATTTAGTTCCAATTTGTAGATTATTTGCGTCGCTTATCCCCATTTCTAGGTTTATAGTTTGGTGTTTCTCGTTCGAATATATTTGGTATGCGCATCTGCGACTTGAAGAAAACGACACAACAATGAATGTGGACACAATGGGATGTAATGGTAAAGGAATATTTCGTATTCGTTTCTTTTCACTTTTAATGAATTAAGGTTCTGGTTTTTGTTTCCATTGTGTCCGCCTTCCATTGTCGTACATACACCAGTACGCGCGCATCCAATGCCATCGTCATGAAAAAAAACAGGAAAATTAGTTTCTGACCATTAGAAAACCACAAGGCAAAGTCATTTCATTCGAGATTCAAATTATACGATTCGTTTGGTATGGTTCTTTGTTCAATCTCACTTTGAGCCACTTTTCGCTTGCATTTTCATATGAAGTAATTTCTTGTTCGAGCAGTTTTGTAATCGCACTTCGTGTCTGTGACAAGCAATTGTTATCAGTATTCCATTAAAATTCCATTTATTTGTAGAAACTTGCACAGAAGGTTTTTTTTTGTCTCGACAAAACGCAAAAATGTGCTCCCATTTCAGTAGATACAATATTTTCATGAGATAATGAACAATCGCAAGCTATTGTATCATGTCCAAATTGAAATGCAATTGATAGAAACCCCACAAAGAAAATTGGTATTGCACTCATAAGACATTTATTACCCATTTTCTTTGTGCAATAAGTAAACTGTTCTGAATACATATTTGCAGTGAAGGATCCAATCTAATGTAAAACCGTACATAGAAACACTTTTGAGAGTTTTATTTTCAAAGGTTTCACTCATCGAGTCAGTTAATCATAATATTTTTTAACCAAAACAATTTAGCAATGAGACATCTGGACCTAAATGTAAACGTTTGACAAAAGTATTGTTAAGCTACAACTTGAAGCGATAAACATGATTAAAAAAGAGATGGAAAAAAATGTTGGCTTAAGAAGTTAGATTAAATATATGAATGATACGAAAACTCTGTATAAAACTTTTTAATGGTGTTACTTTGGTGTCACGTTGACGACTATTTAAATTTCATTTTCAGTTTTTCGAGTTTTGTTTTCGGTTAGCTTGATAGACAGACTTCCCATTCATTGGGAATTTTCACAATAGAAAAGAAATTTAAAAAGTCTTCGGGCGGTTTCTAAGATTGACCTAGCTATCACAATTTGGCGGAAGAGAGAACATTGCATAATGATAATCCCATACCGAAAGTCACTGTTCTGATTCGTTTGGTACACATAGTCAGTCAAAAAGGTATAAAATATATCAGTGTAAAAAAAGTACTATTAAAATGACTGATTTCGTTTATTTCAAAGGTGGTTGTTCTATGACAGTCTATACAATTTTTAGGCGAAGTCACAATGTGTGTGTGTGTGTGTGTGTGTGTGTGGAATCAATCATATAAAACGTTATCTATGTCAGATACTTTTGATCATATAATTTCAAATGCATTCAAATTGAATGTTTGAAAAACGTGCAAATATTCAACCTCATTAGAATAAATAGTATATAAATAGCTCATCTTCCGTAGGTTTGGTGACGCCGAAATGACGAAAGCAAAAGTATAAATATATGATACATTATATATTGTAAGTCCATTGTAGTTGGAGAAGAATTTTCTGACTGACTGTATATTGATGATGACGACTGAAAACATCGTGCATGTTTTCCCTTATGAATTCCTAACAAAATCACGGCATACACCAACATGGTACGGAAGAGGAAAATCTCGCGGCTAGTTAAAGATGCACGATGTAAAAACACTTTGTTTACATTCAATTATTAACTTGAATTTTTAAATTGTAGGTGTTGAAGTGAATGGCCGATTTGTCAATCACTCTTCAGCGTATTGCATTCCGGATTGAAATAATAATAACTCAATCATTTATGACACGTGTTGTCATTCTCAAAGGTGTTTTATGCGTAATTATTCATACGAAGCTCCATTTCAGTTAACTCCAACAGTTAACAAGTGACGCACTCAACAAGCCGCACAATGCAAGCGAAGCAGTCTCCATTGAAATGAACCGTATCCTTTTTTTGGTAACAACGAATATCGATAATAGCGATCTCGTTTAGAAGCAAACAGATTCATATACATACCTATACCGTATATATATGCATCGCATCACAAAGTATGACGAGCATTGAAAAAACCGAAATGTGCAACGCGAAATACACATTAGGCTAAGTTCATAATAAAAAGTTACAAAGGAGCCACAGTTTTTGTTTCTGTGCATATTTTAGCGATAATGATGTTTCAAATACAAATAAAATATTAAATGGAGAAAATGCTCATGCAATCAAACTTTTTTTTAAACAAACGAAAACTTTTCTCGTTCCGTCTTTCATCACAGTTTTTAATTATTATGAGAGTGCTTT